AATTTTTCTCCTGTATGAGTGTTAGAGAAAATTACAGACACTGTAGAAATAGGATGCATCTAAACTATTTTAGCTTTCTTGTATTCTCACCCATTTGTCCCTTTCTGTCTTCATAATAATCACTAGATTGTTGGTTCTTTTAATGCTGCCCTGAGTGTAAGGCACTTTTTTAAAAAGCATCTTGTGTGAATGATCCTGTATAATAATGCATTATAATTTATTTTCTATCATATAAGAATGTATTGTGAACTTAGGATCCCAGACAAGCTATCCATTGGTGTCCTGACACCATCTTACAGATGGCCTCCTCCCTTTCTCTCTTGTAGAAGGTTAAAGAGCTTCATTCTAAGTAGCACAAATACTCCACCACCTACAGAAAAAATACTAAGGTTTATATATCCACATCCTGTGGATCTGAAAACCTACATGTATTCTTATCACAAAGCTTTTTGGTATTAGCTTACTGCTTTACTCCTCGCTATGCTGTAAACCTCACTATTTGTCATTTCCTTTCTGAATTTTGAATACTAATCAGCTGACTGAATTCAGTCATGTTAAGTGGGCCAGATATTACAGTTCTTAGACAGAACTTCCAGTGAAGTCACTAGAGCCAGGCCAATTGAAGAGAGTTGTGGTTACTGATCGTTGCAGCCTAAAGTTTGTAAATGTATGCAGTTACCAAAGTAGTGTATCCACAGGCTGAGGTAAGGAGGAATAGATGCATATGTCCAAGAAGATTTATAATTAATAAAAGTTTGTGATGCTTGATTTCATGGAAGTAGGGATCTCTGAATCCACATCTAAAAGTAGGCAAGTTGTGGCCTGTTGCGTTGTAACCTGTTAAAGCAGGAAGGAAATGATTAGTGAAATGAGAAGAGGTTGTGAGAAAGGTAAAAACAAGAGAGTAGTTATAAGAAATATTTTTTTATAATATGGTAAAAAAATATGCCTGGGCATATTAGCAAGGAGAGTGAGCCCAGTGGTTGGGGTGCTCCCTACTGCTTAGGAGACTCAGGTTCAAATCTCTGCACTATTACAGTCTTCCTGTACAAGTCATTTAGTTCCAGATTTTAAAATATTTAATGTTTTTAATGCTTAACTCCCATTAATTTAAAGAAGTGGTTAGATATTAAAATACCTCTCAGGGTCTGACCCGTAGTGTCTGTGTGCCTCTGTTTCCCATCTATAAAAGGGGGATAAGAGCACTTTATTTGGATGTTGTGAGGATAAATAAGTTAGACTGGCATGCTCAGGTACCATTGTCAAGAGGACCATATAGTACCTAAGATGTTTAAAAGAAAGAAAGTCAAGGGGCCCCCAGGCTAGCATAGTTAAGGCATGCTGGTTTCTATAGCCCATGATGCAAAAGGGATGTGGTTAGCATCATCTCCAGCTGCCTTTGACTCTACTGTTCTAATGACTAGGTACAGATAGATAACCGTCTGAGGAAGTCACTTGTATGCGCTGTCAAGCCTGTAATGTGTAGGAGAATACAGAAAACGTCACTCAATTTCAACTGCTGCAGACTTCATAACATAAACTGCTTCCACCAAAGTTACTAGCCACTGTGAATGGTGAGGAGTGTGAACAGAGTGAAGAGTTGCCTGATAAAACCTTCTCTATGCCAGGACAATATGTGCCAGTGTTCAGAAATGACCACAGGACTAGGACTAAAGTGAATGACACAGTTGTTCTGAATAAATTTGATAATCAGGGTTTGAGATTTGTCATGGAAATGATAGGAACAGTCTTGTTTGGACTTTGTAAGAAAAACAAAATAACTAATATACAGTAAAAATACCAAAGTCACACATTATAACATTTTAAAGAAAGTAGCCTATAAAACTTTTAACTGATCAATTTATGTCTCCTGTGATCTGCAGGATTCTGGATAGCTGCCAGTCTAGCACTGGAGGAAGATCTTTTTTCTCCTACCATGGACCCTACAGACTTGGCCAGTGTAACAGTTCTGTGCAATTGCCTTTTAAACCATGTGTGAGATTGACACGTACATGTTCACTCCAGAGTAAATTGGTTTCACACTATACTGACGGTAGAATAGACGCATAATGTACAGCTTTAAGGTGGTCGCTTCACTTGAGGGTGAAGTTACCCTTCAGTAAGTGAAGGGTATCTATACATTTATGTTGGTTAAAGCAGTTGTTTCTGTTTCTTGAGTGGGTTTCACTGTGGTAGCCGTTCGCTCAGTGCAAATTGACTCTAGTGCTTGCTGCAGCTAGCCAGCATGGGAGAGCTAGTCATGTTTCTGCTCCTTACTACAAAGTTAATATGCTTTGGGATAAATTGCTCTGCAGTCATGTTGTGTGGCTGCACCACAAGGAATACTTTACTTCACAAATCGTTCCATTGACTTCAGCCGGTGGAGCTAGGTCCTAGCTACCTTATAGTGGTAATGTTTAGAAGGTACCTAACGTGCCTAGATAGTGGCTGAAGGTTGCATCCCAACAGAATAAAAGAACTGATAAGAGATTATCATAATCATAGCATACATTTAGAAGACACTTATATTAAAAAGTAAAGCCACTGTTGCCTTATTTTAATTCTGATGTAGCTGCATTCAGCTATTGTTTTGATGTATTTTTAGACTTTCTTCCCTTACACTCAGTTGCTTCAGCAAAATATCCTTGAAATAAAGGCCTTTTACTGCTTCATTTTCCAGGATTACAATCCTAATTTGCAGACCAGTTTCCAGGATTCTGACTTGCTGAGTTCTGTATGCGAGAGATATGTGTTTATTCATTTTTTTCCTCACTTCTTAAGAGTGGAGAATTACTTGCCAAGATTCTGCCACCCATACTTTGATTCACTAATACCCTGCTCCACATGTAACCATAACAAAGGCAGAGAAATTGCTTGCAGAGGATGGGCCTGATCCAAAGCCCAGTGAAATAAAGGGAAGTCTTTGCTTGGATTTCAGTGGGCTTTGAATCAAGTTCCAGGGTACTATTTAGCATGTATATGGGTGATGGTACTGGATTCAGTTTTATAATGGAAGCCAAAATTCATTTTTAAAAAATCCTCTTCAGCTTTCACAATGGAATGGTGTATTAGTAAAAGAAAATGCCATCGAAGAAGACAAAGAGAAGCATTAACGGCACTTAAGAAGGTGGTGCAGCAGTCACCATAACAGCCAACTACAAAAGCTGAGCAGGAAGTAAGCAAGAGCCAAACTGATGCTGTTGGAATTAGTTAGGAATTTGGGTTCCACAGCTGCCAAGTGTGTCTTGTGTGGCCAAGGTGTCAACTTCAGTACTGGAGTAGATAGGAGATTGATGGAAATATAAACAATACTAGCAACAGCAGGCAAGATTACTGATTTTGTACAGAAATTACACAGCTGTGCCACTGTGCTGTTGTAATCGCATTAGAAAAAGTCAAACTAATAGGCATAAAAGCATGACATGAGGCCTCCTCTCTAGTGCACTCTCATGTATAGATGCAACCATCATGTAAGAGTGTATGTCTGTTCCTAGTAAAAGATCTAGACATGGAAGAGCTGATCATAACTGAATTATTGACAACCTGGCTTTTTGTGCAATGTCTGCCTGTGCTTTTAGCTGTTTTCCTTTAGAACACAAATCCGTTTACTCCAAAGAGACATGAGAAATCCTGGCAGCAAGAACATTGCTTTAAAAGAACACATTTCACTTCCCTGGCATGTGTTCTAATTAAAATAATACAGTCTTTTGACAGATTACTGGACAATTAAAGCCTAATCAAACCCAGTGCAGAATGGTCCCATGGAGCAGTGTTATCCTATTCCATCTTTAGAAGGTTTATAGGAAGAGTATTTCCAAAGATGATATTAACAGAAATTACAGGATCTCTATGCTTTTGTGCAAATAAACCTGTCTGTCATCAATAGAAACAGAAGCCTTTGTATAGGATAAATGTAAGGCAGTTGTGCATACTAGTTTGCGATGACTGTTACATTAGAATCACTATTGGAAATTCTTAGTTCTCATTTATATGAGAAATCCATTTTCTGCTAGATATTTTTAGTGCTAACTTTCTCTGAAGTGCTATTATCTTACACTATATACCATTAGTCCTTGATATGTTTCCAAGCTGGTCATGTGATTTCTAAGCATTTCTTTAACTGCTTTCTGAATGACTTGTCTGGCAGGAGTCGGAATGCAAAGTTGTTAACTGCTAACAGCCTGCAGCCTCTTTTCTTTTCCTGATTTTTTTTTTTTTTTTTTTTTTATTGATAAAAGATAAAATGCTTTATAGTTACCTTTCTTAAAAGGTCAGCTGTGCCTTTTCTGTGTGACCTCATTAGCAGTGATCCTTTTCCACACTAGCTGTCTATAAAAATGTAAAAAATGTAAATTTCTGCAGAAGAACTGCCTGTGTGGGAACACATAACAAATATACTATTGAAAGCCATTTCAGAGATAAACACTGGCATTTCACATCAAACCATGGATATTTTAACATGAGCCACGTGAAGCAGTCCAGATTTTTGCATTATTTCTACTTGTTACATTTACAAATCAAATGAGCTGACTGTTTCAGTAAACGATGAGACGAAAAAATGCAGCTCAGATCCTCAGTGAGCCACAACTATTTTTCCCAATTAAAGAAAAATAGCCTAAATGAAGTATTTTAGAAATATTGTCAGCCTTAAGTTTACATATGATTATTAACGGGTTCTTGTAATTGATCCTGTCCTGATTTTTAAATGCACAGCTGGTTTCCTTAAACTGGGGATTTTAATAATTTTGGTTCCACAAGACATGGAATCAGAGGAGGATTATTGTAAAACACAGGAAGCACAAATGTTCTCATGTGAATTCAGAAGCATACACAGGGAGAAAAAGATCTTAATGTTGCGTGAGTGTGTTTAGTTTCAGTGGATCAAAATCTTTCCTATATCGCATCCAAGCTATTTGGTTGTGATCAGATGATCACAGCTCAAGGAAGCGATTGGAGAGCTAGCTGGCTGCAGCTGCACTGTAGGCTGTTTTCAGGGACAAGGAGCCACTGTTTTTCAAACGTAGCATAAACATAGAAGTTATTTTGTAGGCTTCAGGATGCAGATATGGGTTGTGCTGCCAGCATTGTTCTGCTTCAAGCCTTTCGTTCTGTGGTACAGAGGAACTGTCCACATATTTGTAGACGACGACAAGAGGAATTGTCACATGAAATTCTGCCACTGGATAGTGATGATGAAATGAGCAGACCCAGAACTCTCATCATAATGGTACAGTACACTTTAGCAACAGACTCAGTTGACAGGATTATTATTACAGATGTTATGGGATTTATTATCTTTAACTATATAGTCACAAGAAAAGAGTATTTGAGGAACTGTTTGCAATCATGTTAGTCTTGTGGCAGATTTGTTGTCCTTGTCAGACAGCTGAATTTTTACTTTAAAGCTGAAACTGTGATGTGCATGTATGCTGTATATGGAGTAACATTCTGTTGTTTAATTAATCTGTGTTGTGGTACCGTTGTAAGATACTGCAAGCATTAAAACCAAAATGTGGGTTATTGTGTTTTATGTTAGATTTTGAATGCGAAACAGCAGACAGCTAGGAAATTGTGCACTGTCTGTTTCATTGAAATTGAAATTACTTTCCCATAGGTCTTTGCAACAAACTGTTCGTGGCAAAAAAAACCAAGCCTGTCTGCTTTACTTGTTCTGAGTAACCCTTAAGTAAAAAATACATAGTTCTTTTAGCTGAGTAGTCAGTTTGTCAGTTCTGTATCTTTTTTTTGTGAAAGATAGCATTCGGATGGAGGTTTCTTGTTCTATGAACTAGTCCTTTTTATTTTTTATCTTATGCTGTGATTGTAATTAAACAAGCACTGTAGGCCATTTATTAATATTCACATGTGTGTTAGAGGAAATCCTTATTTAAATCATTGTTTGAGAAGATTATATAAACTTCTTAGTTACTCAAATTCCTCAAAAATTCTGGAAACTGGAAGTATAGCTATATCTTGTAAGTGTATAGATCTGAATAGTGTATTATCTCTCTATATTATAATTACAGTATTTGATACCATATTCTGCTTCTTGCCATGGTTTAACGATCTGATTATTTCATTAGTATTTTGGCCAATTTACATCAAAGCCATCATGTACTGTACTTCATTTGAGTAATATAGAGACTCTCAACTAAAGTACATTATGATGAAGTCTAAATTGTGTCCTCTGACAGCTTGTTTTATCATTATACATAGTAATTCATACATGAATGTGCATCAGGAACACTAGATAATTTCAGACCCATCATGAAATAATAGTAGTGGCTTTATTGCCTTTAGAAGTGCCATGCTGCAGTCATGGTAACTATGATGAGAAACAGTGGGCTGGATCCTAGCTAAGCCAACCTACCAAGCAGAGATTCTTATCTGAGGTTTATATTGGTAATTGGTTTTGGGAATGAAAGAGAAAGATTTAATCATTTTTAAGTCTCATATCTTAAATCCGTTGTTTTGCTTTAAATTATAGTCTCCATAAAATGCATATTTCTTTTTGTTCAGTCAAAGGTTAAATAGCCTATCTCTGTGGAATTAAAACATATCGTCTCTGATGATGGTAATTATTTGGATTACAATAAATATGAAGTGACAACGGTCTAAAAAAATTGTTGGATGCCAAAGCACTAATCTGTTATAACGTTTACATAATGGCATACAGACTCTTACGTGTAAATCTGTTCAGATTAGAATTTGGTGTGCAATGCGTCTTTACTAGCTTTCTCAACAGTACCAAATTGTCAATCATCTTGACTGCATAACTGCAGTAGAATTTATGGGATTGAGGCTAAGAAGCATAGTATCTGGGAAGTGGGAGTTACCCCAGCATGGAATAAATTGTGGAACCTAGAGTGTCTGTAGAGATCCAGGAGAGGCCAGCCACTTGTTCATAGATGGATGTCCTCAATTGCCAAACAGAACAAGAAAGTGGACTAAAGTGGCAACTTTGTGTGTTCTCCAAGGCTATAGCACCCAATCTTGCAACGATCTACTCAGTCCTTATCCCTTTCCCAGTAAATGTCCATGTCCCATAAAGAGCTTGTCTCCAAGATTTCCTGAGAAGCTGGGGAGGACATTGATCCTTTCACCTCCCTGTGGGAGATGGGGGAGAAGGTAAGAACAAGTAATATTGAGTGTTGCCCCCTAAAAAAGCGAGTTGCACATGTTTTTTTCTGTTGAATAGTTATTGCATTTCACAGATTAGATATAGGCTAGTAGCAGTTAGTTACAAATAAACACATTTGTATCTAAAATAAGATGGCATCAAGCTTTGTGGTTAGATATTATAATGATATAAAATGTGAGTTACTTCGAAAGAAAGTTGCTTCAGAACTCTTCTGGCAAAAATGAATGGTACTGTTTCAGATAGATTTCAACTGTTGTTTGAAAAGACACCATGACAAAGAAGATGGAAGATTACTGATTCCTAGCCAGATGTGTGTATAATGCTAAGACTCTCACTTGGCTGTAGCCTATCACTAACAATTATTTATCAGTAATGTAGTAGACTATATTACATGCAAAAGAGCTTTACTTAGACTTGATTATTGACATTAGTGATTTCTGATGCTAAAGGGATTGCTACTGATTTACTAAGCATTTTCATATTTGAAGGCAACAGGAAGTGCGAATATTCAGATGATGAAGATAATGCTATAAAATTCAGAAATTCACTAGGTATAATTACATTTTGTGAGTCAGATCCTTAGTGTTTCAATCCAATCTTTCAGCAAGTCCAGATTTCTACCCACTGAGGATCCTAGTACTTTTTCACTGGTCACTTAAATCTGTCTTTCAGGTGCAGTTGATCTACATTTCATCTTAACATTTGTGAAATAAGCTATAGGGAGTTTTTCATTATGAAGATACTTGGACAATATTGTACTTTTTAAACCTGTTTTGTATGAATAGCTGTTCCAAGTAGGCAGCCCTTTTCTCCTGTGCTTCAGAGACTTGTTATTTCTAAACTATTGCATCCTGGATATACAGTGAAATTTCCATGTCACATAATCTAGAAATCCTTCTATGAACGTTGCATAGAACTTACCCCAAACACTTTCAGCAGCCAGGCATTTGCACATTGTGATTTACAGTTTTATATATTTCCTCGTATTTGAAAAACTCTTAATTCATGGAAATATAAGTTTGAAAATGTTTTTGGTTATCTCAGGAATTTCATTTTATCATATCACATTAGTAACGTTAAAAATCAAAGGTGATGCAAGGTAATATGGTTCCCTAATTTAATATGAATTAAGCCATGTAGGCAGTAGGAAAGAAAGGAAATAGATTATGTAGTTTTTGTACAATAGGTACCATGTGGAATGAGGCCATCTGGGTTTTTTTAACTCCTGACAATTTGCCCTTGTGAATCAAAAATGTAATTGCTATTAACCTGAATTTCTTACTATTTTTTATTTGTAGTCTGGTAATGCCTAGAGAATTCTGTCCCAAAAGATTAAGCACACATTTAACAAGAACCATGCTCCTCACCCCAAATACAAGATAAGAGACAACAGGTGGATACAAAAGACGGACAAAGAAACAATGAGATGTTTATGATGTGTGTGATACGCAATGAGCACTGTGTGCCAACTGCATCGTCATTGTTGCAAGTTCTGTAAACAACACAGAAAACAGATTCGAGTATTCCTGCCAGTTCGGAAAACAATTCTGATATCTTTATTGACATTTATTTTTCTGATTTAATTTTATATCATGATGTCTCATCCTTAGGTAATTGGGTAATTTAATCTACAAGATAAGGGGTAATGGAAAGAGTAGCCTGATGACTGAGATATGTTATCTTTTCTTGAAGCCATAGGAGAATGAGCGTTCCGTGGTCTCTCAATAGATGTATGAATTGGCTCAACGTGATCAGTGGCTCAGCACTTAGCACAGGGGCAAGCAAAGTCCGGCCTGCAGGCTAGATCCAGCTGGCAGTAGACTTCATTTCGCAGCAGCCCCTGCCCATATGGTTGGGGATGGTCTTCATGGAGACCCTGGTCACAGCTGCGCTGTGATTAGTGCAAGGCTGGAGTTGCCATGGAGACCATCCCCAGCCATGCTGGCAGGGCAGGGCAGGGCAGGGCAGGGCAGGGCAGAGGGTTGCTCCAGAGCTGTTGAGATCTTGTGGCGGGGGCAGCTTGGTCCGGGGCCAGGTCAGAGCTGCGATCTACAGCCTTTACGTTTCATTTAGGGGTGTGCAGGCAGCGGATCATGGCTCTGCCCCAGCTCGGGACAAAGCTGTCACCGCTGCAAGGAGCTAGGGTAGAGCCATGATCTGCTGCCTGTGTGCCCCTGCCTGGAGCATGCAGGCTGCAGATCACAGCGTGACCCTGGCCCCAAACAAAGCTGCCCCCACCACAAGATCCCAGTGGCTCCAGAGCAGCCCCCTGCCTTGCCCTGCCCTGGGCCCTGCCAGCATGCCTAGGGATGATCTCCATGGCAATCCCAGCCTTGTGCTATCACAGTGGAGTTGCAGTATGGAGACCGGCCCCAGTCATGCAAGCAGGGGCTGCTGGGAAATGGAGTCCGGCTGCCGGTTGGATCTGCCGTTTTGCCCAACCCTGACTTAGCAGCCTATCTCAATTCATACACTTTTAAATCAGAGGTAGGCAACCCCTGGCACACATGCCAAAGCATGGCATGCAAAGACATTTTTCTTGGCACGTGTGCCTCTGGGAAAGAGCTGGGGTGTCACTGCCACAACAAAGATCGGGTGCCTCTCAGGTCTCTTGCCATCTGCCCCGGCACACCAACATCTTACAAGTCAAGGTTATGGGTGTTTTTGCCCCTCTGCCCAAAAAATGTTGCCGACCCCTGCCTTAGATGAACATCTCACTGATGACCCTACGCATAGAAGGCTTTCAACTTCACTGTGAAATCAGGAATGAGATAACGGAGTATGAGATAAAGTAAGTAGCACCAAATACATTAAAACAACGGTATACTGCAGAAGGTAAGGAAGAGACTAGTCAAAAAGCTTTAAAAAAAATGAAGATATTTCTGCCCATAAATGCTAATTGGGGTTATGTAAAATCAGTTTGATAGGCAAAAGGTAAGATTTTGGGGGGTGATATCTTTTATTGGATCAACTGCATGGCTGAGGTAAAGTTTAAGCAAGCTTTCAAATGCAAGGCATTTTTTTTTAGTGAGTAAAGTGTTTGGAGAGAGAGTACTAACGTTTAGGAGGGAATTTTTGCCTTCAGA